GAAGAACAAGAAGAACAAGAAGAACAAGAAGAAGAAGTACACCAGCAAGACCAATGACAATTCCCCCTTCTCTCTCCACCTTCCTCCTCCTCCTTCTCTTCACCAATCTTATTCTTCTCTCAATAATAATAATAACAATGAATGGATGAACCAGAATCAATATCCGAAGTTCCCTCTTACTGCTGACTCAACAACAACAACAACAACCAGTCCACCATAGCTATGGCTTCCCTCCTTCAGCCTCCTCTCTCGAGCATAGGCTATGGTGGACTAATGAGGGCCTGGCGCTGATGCCCAAAGGACCACTCAAAGCAGCTATGCCGCTGCTGGCTTGGTCCGCTATGCCTGCCTCTGCCTCGAGCTTCCCCCAGGTGCCGCACTACCCCAACTGGGGCCTTCCAGATGCAGCGCCCAACAAGGTGATGAAGATGGTGTCTTCCATAGCCAGGTAAGTGCCTCGCCACTCTCTCCCTCAACCTCCTTCTTCCTCCTCACACTGGGCTGCTCGCCATAGCCAGGCTGAGCGCCCAGCTACCTTCACCTCCACCCAGCGCTGTAGCAGACGAGCGCTAGCGCTCCAGCAGCATGTCGCCAATCCTTGCATACCGCAAACGAGGAAGAGCTCTCCGCTCTTCTTGAAGATATAGCGGCCTACCGGCCTCCTGGGCGGTGACTTCCTAGACCGAGTGGCCTCCCAGCAACCGGTACCTCCTCCCTTTCGGAGGGAAACATCATTGCAGGCTCTGTTATCGTCCGCACAGGCCCTAGACCTGGGCCACTTGGACTGGTACCGGCCTACCTCTAACCTACCGCTACTGGGCCTCTAAAAATGCCAACTTTTTGTCTTCTTCTGCTCGGCCTACCTGCTACTTGAGTGTTTTTCCCCAGCTGCTCTAAGTGCCGTGGGCCTACCCCCCGCTACCGGCGTGTTTACCCCCCCTGCAACCCTTCAAAGTCACGGCCACAGGTAAGTACCGGCCCGGCGGGCCTTGCAACCAACAAGTACCCTTGCGGGTCACACACCCACGTACCCAATCGGCAAGCACTCAGACAGGCATGCAAACCAGTAGGCACGCACACACACACAACTGGCAAGCACTCAAACAGGCATGCAAACCAGCAGGCACGCACACACACAGACTTGGAACCACAGCAGAACGCGGGAATCACAGCAAGGCATTCATTCCAGTGACAAATCCCAGAAATCAGCAGTGTTCTCAGTCTGTGTTTTTGGCGGGTCATTACAAAGTAAATAAATAAATAGATGCCGCCTTACCAAGAAACCTGCGGCCTGGGGGCCGCCGTGGGCCTCCAGGGCCCCTCAGCAACCATCGGGCCCCTTAACTGGGGCCCGTGTGCAGGCACAGCATGTAACATCTGTGTACAACATTGTTGTACAAATTGTCGATGAGAGGTAACATCTCATCACAGTCATCTTGGCTGGGCTGCAGAGAGCATAAATGCGCCAAGATCCATCTACATAAGAGGGTTACAATGAACTCATGAGCCAATGTTCAAGCCTTCAGGCCACATCAACGCAGTATCCAATGTCGCACCTACTGTATGGCGCCCAGCGCCCTTCCTACTCTACCTAGCCTATCCTACTACAGCCGCATTCACGCAACAGGCTCACTTCAACTTTGAAGACCAAATGTACATGACGTCAACACCATAGCTGACCTCCCTCATGCACCAGGTACGTATCTCGTCTCCCCTCATCACCCCTGACCACCGATCGCCCCTTACCCCCCTTGCGTCCTGCAGCCCGACTATGGCCGCTCGCGCACCACTGCCCTGCAGCGCCCCTTTCACCTCGCAAGTGCCCGCATGCGCCCCTGGCCGCTAATGCAGCAAGCAGCCACTTGCGCAGCAGCGCGACGCATTGCCAGCTTGGGCCAGAATGCCAGACCCTGGCAGCCTTACTTCCTATATGGAAGTGGCAGCCTCTGTTTGGCTGCGTGTGGGCCTGGCTGAGAAGCTTCCAGTAGCTTCCGGCTGGGCCCCAGTGCCTGCGCCCAGGCCCCATCTCTGCAGTTGAGGACCTGGACCCTTTACAGTTGGGCACACCCAGGATTTCCAGACGTCGGCCGTTTGCTGCATTTGCACTGGGGCCGGGGTAGGTACGTCGACAACGCTGCTTTCTCGAAGGCCCATGGCCACTTTGTAAGGTATCTGCCTCCCAGTGTGTGTTCCCAAACACATCTACCCGGACCTGGGCCCAACTGTACGGCGCAGCTCATGTTTTCTGGAAAGAGCAGGGAGGCTCACGTGTCCTTGTAACCAACTGGCGTGTTGCAACTGCCTGAGTACCCAATGTGGAAAAATGTCAAATTTTGGCCTCTTGTGAATATTCAGGCCCGCTTTCACTTAGGCCCGGCACAGGGCTTGCTGAGGTCCTCTGCACAGAACATGTGCATGTCTGACAAGGGCCCCACGAGGCCTCGTTCCTCGCATAAAAAAAAAAACTTCAAAGAAGTAAATAAAAGCAATAGAAATCACTTCAAAGTTCAAAAGAACCAATCAGGATAAGCAGTGAATCTGATTGTTTCAGCTTTGTCCCTCTTTTGTGTCTGCAGAACACTGAACGCATAACTGGAATGTTTCTAAGAGTTTTCCGATCATGGGTCGAGGCACAGAGAGGGTCGGAGAATTATCACACCTACAAGAAGCCCTTGCATGAACAGACTATTTCTGAGCTCAACATCACCCTTTCGAATCTTGTAATGAGTGTTCGGAAGAAGGTGCCAGACAACACACAGGCAGATCCGTATGCATACCCACCAAAAACATTGAGAGGCATGATATTGGCATTGGAGCGGCACCTTCGAGACGTTGTGAGAATGTCCAACTTGGAGAATGGTACCTCCATTCTTCCCTATTCTTTCCTAGGTAAAGATGCACGCTTTGCTCCATTTCAGATGTCGTTCGAAAGACGATGCAAGGAACTTGCTGGTCGTGGGATTGGCACTGTTGCAAAGAGATCAGCTCCGATCATGACAAGAGAGAAGGAAGAGGAGATGCTTGCTGGGAGCATGATGGACCGTCGTACACCTGAAGGCTTGCAGAATCGTGTTGCATGGCATCTTGGTGAGTGGGATTTCACCACCTTTCCCTTTGTTCTCATTCCCCTTTTCCACCCATCCTTTTTTTTTTTTTTTTTTTTTTTAATAAAACAGGCCTTTATGGTCCTGGCTCCATTTCCATTCTGAGGAGCATCAGTCCGGTTCCTATTCCACCGGCAAGTCAGAATAACAAGATACATCATAAGTACTCACCCACGCTTCCTTCCGTCTGGCCGAAGGAACCCTGACCAGCATTGATTGCTCCAACATCATGGAGGATTGACTGTCAGCTTGCCCTGCTTCATCCTTTCCTCTCAGGTCTACTGCGAAAACCTGTCGTATAAAGCATGACTAACGAGAAAGGTCCTAGAAGCTGCCAAAGCTGCCAGTTTTGTCTAAACTGTAAATCCCACATGTGAACCACATTGAAACTCTGCTATTCTGAACTCTGTTAGCCCTAATTCTGTCCAAACCCTAAGTCCTAAACCCTCAAATGTAATTTTTATTTTCCAGAAACACAAACTCCAAATCCTTTCCTAGCATTTCTTGAAGTCCCCTGAAGCAACTTAGCCTGTCAACTCACGGTGCCTGTGTCCAACTTCCTTCAGTATTTCGTGAACCACTTTCGTTCCTCTTTGAACTGTCTCTCCGTTGCTGCAGCCATTGGTCTCCCTTGTGGCAGTTCGGTCAGCATGTGTTTTACCCGCCCACCGTTGTTTGTTGCTGGTAGCCCCTCCCTGGATTTGAGTCGTGCCAGTCTTTCCAACAGATGTGGTCTTCTCTCAGGTCCGCCACTTTGCCATTTACCAGCCACGTTCTGCTGAAGCTCAGTCTCGCCTTCTTTTGTTGGTTCTCATCCTCTGTCCATGATTGTTTGATCCTCCGCCATTTGCAGAGGATTTCAGCTTGTATCATCGTTTTTGTCTCTGCCCAAACCCTCTCGCGTGAATTGGCCACTCCTTCAATCGTCCTGCTGCATCTTTCCTTCCATATGATGCATAGCGTCACCTTCCTTATGATTCCGAACCAAATTCTTTCTGCCTTCTGGAACTGCTCAGGAGGAGAAGTTGGATGGGTTGTTCAGGGAAAGGGGTCGGGAATAGGGAGTCCCATAGTGCCGAGGCTCTTGCCCAATAGTCCGTCGCCTCCCTACATTGTAGTAGACAGTGTACTATATCCTCTACCACTACTTCTGTGCAGACCGTGCACTGATCGGAACTGTTGGGGTCTGAACCCTTTCGTCTAATGTGCAGCCATTGGTTTACTGGTAGTGCCACATAGGCGATTAGCCATTGAAGGTTTCTAATTTTAATTGGTCTGGTTATGACTCTGATAGATTTGAATTTCTTCCACTGGATCTGAGTGAGTTTGTCTGCCTCCTGTCCCAATACAGTCTGCCATCTTTTCTTGATGATGGGGTCAGGGTCTTTGGTTCTGAGCAACAATCTGTATCCCAGTTTGACTGTATATTCATGAATTGGGATTTTGGATTTGATGTTCTTAGTTTTATCAGGCGTCCACGCCCACTCGGCTGGGTCAAACTCCAAGTTATGAATCGCTGTGTCAGGTCTGAAGATTAATTTTGGCCAGGAACCAAGGACTCTCACCTTTCTAAGTAGGAAAAAGTCTATGACTTCTGATTCTACTCTGCTGTTGACGATGGCCGGCATGCTGGTAGCGGACCAGGAAACCGGAAAAGAGAGGAAGGTAGCCTTAGTGGGCGAGTTTTGTTGCATGTGAGAGAACTGAAAGGCTCTGGAAGGAGTCGTTTCTTGTACCAGAAGCCCCCACTCTCGGGGTTTCCAAGGTGCAGCTTCAGTCAATATGGCCTTCCATTCTTGTGGGATAAGATTGAGGATATATTGGTGATTAGGTTCTTGCTTATGGCATCCTTTCAGTTGGGAGCTGATCTCTTGTTCCATCTTCCATTCTTTTTTCTCCTCATTGCACAGGTGGGCGACTTTCCATATGCCGTTTTTGACCCAGGAGAGCCATCTGTGTTCCAGGCGGAGGGGATTGTCATTCTCATTTGTTACCCATTATTCCCGAAGAGTGGCTGCCTGAGTACTTCATCCTTGGATCTAGGTTTATTAGATTTGCTAGGCATTATTCTTCTCCAAATTCGGAGTAGCGCTGACCAGACCACCCATCCATTTGTTTTGTTTGATTTTTTTCAGAAACAGAACCTTTGCAAGGAAAATGAGAGATAGTGAGATGACAGAATCCAGATAGCACAATCACATTGAAAGCAAGAAAGTCCCACAGTGTCCAGAAAGCAGCATTGCACCAATATTACACCAATGGAGAATCGAAACACTGAAACCGAATGTCAACGAGAGCTTACTCTCGTCCCCACCAACATACGTATCCAGGCCCTCTCTCCCTACTTGGCGCTCGGCGCCCAGGCTACTCCCTACACAGCTACTTCCTGCCTACGAATTGACAATGCAACTGTTGACGTCAGCAGCCACCGAAGTACTTGAAGATGTCGACCAATGCAGAACATCGCCAATACCAGGTATGCGACCTCACATCGTCATCCTCATCTCTCCCACTCTCTCCCTGTCCTTGTCTTCCTCCCACGTCTTCTCCCTCACCACCACCTCCACTGGCTGTCCAAGCCAAGCCCTGGCTATGTAGGGCTGGCTATGGCGCTGCCCTCAGCAGCGCCCTGCCTTCTTCCAGCGCCCGCGTGCCCTGCCTGGCAGCTAGCACTAGCGCACAGCGCACAGCCTCCGAGCGCACGCTCAAGCAGCGCTGCCGCATGCACTGCCTAGTGCCCGAATGAGCCCACCAGTGGCGAGCTCTTTCCTTTATGGAAAGTGCTCACCCAGTTTGCTCTCTGGCTGGGCCTCGTGTGTTTCCAGTAGCTTCTGAACGGGCCAAAGTGTCTGCGCCCAGGCCCATTCAGACAGTGGCCTGGGACCGAATTGGTTAGGCATGCCCGACCACCCAGGTGTCAACGTGAGGTTGTCCCTGCTTCGCCTGTGCTGCTGGAAGGGCCTAGAAGGCTCATGAATTATTTCTGATTCTCAAGAGTATGGAGGATGTAACCAACTGGCGCATGGCAACTGTCTGGCGCCCACCAAACTTCGCCAAAACTGACGAATTCAGGCCATATTGAAATTCAGGGGCCCGCCTTCTCTTACGGTGGGCTCATGCTTGCTGAAAGGGCCTTACAGGGGCATGTGAGGAGCTAACTCGTAACAAGGCCTCGTCGAAGATCCAAGCCCACATGGGAGTTACAACAGGCTCTGCTTGGGCCCCTCAGCCTGGTCTCATAGCCCTATAAACAGGCATTGGCACATATTTGCAAACCCGCCTTCACTTAGGGCGGGCACGGCACTGTCAGACACTGCCGAGGGACTAAATCCTCGCACCTTACGGTTCTGTTTCCTTTTCCATTCTAGGGAGTATCAGTCCGGTTCCTGTTCCACAGACAAGTCACAAGAAATACAACTGTTACTCACGCATGCTCCTCTCCATTATGGCTGAGAGGCCCGATTGGACGACATTGATGACTTCCCTGAGGAAGGACATACCACCCCTCACCCCTGCCCAAGTTAACCTCGATGACATATTGTTGGAAAACTGCCACCTAAAGCCATACTCTTTGAACAGCAATCTTCCCGTTAACCATGTAACCTGGAACAAAGCCCACTGAAAACCTCAACCTTCCCTTGATCATGATCGGTTTTCAGCTTGCTTGTCCCTAGTTTGTACCCTAGCCCTTGCACTCTCCGATGACCCAGGCATTTACCCTTAATTGTGAACCCTTATCCCCTCCGGCTACCCAGTCATGGCCACCCATGGAATAGTAATCTGGACTCGTCCTTATGGCCTGCTGGACGATATGTCTGTATGGCAACACTGGTAACTGAGAACACACTCTAGTATTCTCCTTCTCCAACATTGGAGCACGCCTACCGGCAGTGGAGAAGAGGAAATAGTTGTCAAGAACAATTCAGTCTCACGAGTCGATCAAAACCACAGCAGACAAATTATTTTTCCTCAACCTGAACAGGAACATGATGATGGTAGTCTTCAAAGACGCCAACTAGGCGTCCCAGCCGATCGACAGACACGATACATTGAACTGCAATGGATCGGTCTGCTCCCTTTCTCGCTGGAAGCCCGAGACAGTGTTGAAAGCAGAAATCTTGTCGGCCGCTTCAAACAAACAGAGGCTGCCGAGCGAGCAATTCTGGGTTCAATTCAACAAGATACCGATCAGGGGCCACCCCCTCATCAAAGATCGGCTCAAGGTGGAATACCCAGCAAACAAGATTTTGAAATGGGTCCTCCCCACTCCAGACTTTTTGTCACCCGACTGCGACTCCATGACAGCGATTGTGGAAGTCCACCCTGATGAACCACCAATCTTCCTAGAAGAATGGGAATGCATCATTGACGACAAATCCTACACTGTGGTAGTTTCCACGAAATCGAACCCAATCTGCTTCCGATGCAGAGAGAGGTCATCTGGGAACTGACCCCAGATGCCCCCGCTCACCTGACCACACGAGAGAAAAAAAACTCAGGTAGAGCATGCTGGTCAAGGTCGAAGAAGCCAAAGGCATTTGGTTCGTCAACGACCCAAAATATGATGGTTGAGTCTTTGACGATACCATCCAGGACCCCATGTGGATCTGGACACACAGTCACACGAGACCAGCGACCAAACAACCAGATATCTTCCCCCCATCAGACAGCAAATGGCATGCGGTACGAGCCAAAAAAGTCACCGGCGTGCTAGGGAAATTTAACCCGACCCATTGGTCGACCCCCGAGCGATCCAGGAAGAGAAAAAACATGAAGACCTGCAGTGGGATCTGGAATCAATTCGGCATCAAACTGCTGAATTATTTCAAAACCCGGAAGGCGACAGCAAACACCTCTAGAAAGCAAGACAGAGCATAGAGGACCGGTACCCCAAATCTGAAACTGCCCCCAAAAGACAAGCCTCCCCCCAAAAAGAACATATAGACAACAGGGAAGGTAAGAAGAAGAAACGTGAAACAGAAC